TTCACGAGATTTGTCCCAGGGAAAAATCCCACTTACGAAGTTGGGAAAAATATTGAGTTAATCAATATTTTTCCCAGTACCAAGTATGGTACTTGTACCCCTAGGACCCACTGAGAGAAGAAGAAGAAGTGAAAACGAATTGTGCGACATTTCATTCATTACTACATTGTTAATGTTTGTTTAGTTAAAATAATGTGTCTAATTGTCAATTGAGTGCAATTATTATTTTAATCCCGGTTAAATACTCGACTTTAACAAATTTATCTTCCCGCGAAAACTAGTCGCAGGACTGTATGAGCCCCGTCCCGTGGAGACGGTAACTGGGAAAAATCCCAGAAGTTTCATTCCTACGATTCGAACTTGGGACAAATCCCATGAAAACGTCCCGTGGAGACAAGGCCTAAGGGAAAACGCCGTATGAACATTCGAGAGTTGCCAAATTTCCTTTGATAAAATGTTTATTCTCCAGGAAAGTTATGAATGTTTTTCCTTTAAATTTTCAGAAACTTTGGGCCAAATTCCAAAAAAAATAATCTGAAAAATTGGGAGGAAAATATTCATAAATTCACCAGGAAATTCGCGGTTTATCAAAGGAATTTGGCAACGAAAAAGAAGACAGATGCAGCTATAAATGTAGGCTATTTTGTTAGGGGGCCTGCCTACCCTGTCACCGCACCGGCGCGGCGCGGCGGGTGGAGTGGTGTGGAATACCCTCCAGCACGAAGAGGGGCCTCCGGCCTCCCCGAAAGATATTTAAAATTTACCTCTATTTGGACGCTCTTGGAGACTTTCGTGACACAAATTTCCCATTCATTTCTGCACAAAACTTAAGCTGTTTTATGAATTTCCAGCTCAAAATACTTTCGAATTGATGGATTTATCAGATTTTCTGCTTTTCCCCCTCCACCCAGCCCAGAATTTCTGGGAGGGGGCAAATAATACGACTTTCAGTTCAGGAGGGGGCCATCCCCCCCCCCGGCACCCTGGTTACGTCCGTGAAAGAAGAAAATGAGAGGGGAACGAGAGCTAGGAAGAAAGGCGTAGGTTTCCCTTGCCAAATTTGCAAGGCTGTCGAGATACCCACCCGATCCGACTCATTATTCTGTTCCATAAAAAAAGAGGATGTGAGTAAGGGGATCCATCTCCGAGTGAAACTATGCTCCGGCAATGGTCATACCGATCCGAGAGAACGTCTCGTTACTTCAATCTCATTGTCAGTCTCAACTCGGCACTTTTACCGGCACCTCTTCGTTACGATTCAACTGAACTGCGCATCGTCATTGCCCAGTTTCGCGAAAGAAAACTTCACTAACACTGTCAAGTATCGATAGCTTAACGCCTTTTTGGCAACCTCCAACAGTACAGTGGATCGTGCTGCCAAATCGAAGAGAATTGGCGCGGAATTCATCCGCGAGAGCTTGAGCTTGTCGTGAAAAAAGGGATTTATGGGCGAGATCGGACATCGTTGAAGCGCATGCGCGCTCGAGATAATGAGATGGAGCTGTCGCTTAGACCTGACTCACTTGTCCATTAAAAAAAAAACGCAGGCAATGCTTGGGCTCGCGTGCATTAGAAACTCATCTTCATTGAAGGAGTCTCCTTGTTTCGCCAATTAATACATTGTTAAGCTTTTTCGACTGCTCTCTCACCAACCAAGAGCTTCCAAATGTTTTCACTCCGGTTCACAAATTTCTTCGCCAAGATGTCAAGGTTCTCCTACTTACAGTTTACTACAGATACAATACACTATGCGATGCGATTGGGAACGACAGGGACTTTTAACAGGGTTACAACGGGGTTTTTGCTGGATAAAATTTCGCGAAAAAACCAAACAGTTCGATGGAAAGTTCAAAATATTCACGGCGATACAAGATACAAGCACAGAAAACCGCATTATCTGCACTCAAAAATCATCTGTATGCAACGTCCACAATTTTCTTTGAGGCCTAACACTCCACAGAGCCTAAGACGGCTAAGCCGATCACGAGTGGATCCTTCAGTGGCCATACTAAAATACTGAATACTCTGTTTATAATGGTACTCTGCAGCCTGATTGTTGACATTTTGGGTTTGTCGGGTCTCGGGCAGACATAGATGACACGGTTAAAAGGTGGGAGCGTGATTGGTCGGCTATGTCTTATCCCTGCTTCGTCGTGCTTTTGCCAGGTGGGTTGGACCACATACTGTCGAAACTTGAGAGGTGCCTTCAGCTTGTCGTGAGTTCCACCCGATATAGGCACGATAAAGCAGCGATAAGACATAGCCGACCAATCACGCTTTGCCTTTTAACCTATGTCATCTATGTCTACCCGACCAACACAAAATTTCAACCAGTGTCCTGCCTTCCCCGGGCGCCGCGCTATGCGCCTTGAGGGGTCTAAAAATCGGTCCTTGGCGTCTAAACATTTAAGAAGGGGAGGGGGGGGTTCGTGGCGCCTAAAATATTTGACAGATTGAACTAGCAGTCGAAGAGCAGCGGTATAGTGACGAAGCGCTCCCTATACGCACCGTTCGCAGCATCGCCAAGGCCCGTATGCACAAATTTAATTTGGCTCTTAAAAAAATAGTAGATGGCTCCTAAAAATTTGTCTTTCCGGCCAAGGTGGCTCCTAAAATTTTAGGGGGAAGGCAGAACACTGATTTCAACAGTCAGGCTGCTGGAGAAGACAGCGACGCGGAATGCCTGAAGAGGCATGAAACGTAAGAAAGATATGAAACACGAGAAATTTCCATGAAAAATTCACGAGTCCGTGAAACTTGTGAAATTTTTGAATTTTTTAGGGACCAGATATGCAACCCGCACTTAAATGCAAGAAACCTTTATTTTTGGCACCTAATTCTCAGTTATACACATATCTGAAATTTGCGGAAATATTTCGAGAAACTTGAATGAAATCATGCCAGCTCGGGAATGTGCACGGAGAAAAAAACTTGGTGCGTGGGACCCGAAGTTGAGGTCATATGGATCTCTGAAGTTTTCGGATCACGTATCTAAAAACTTGAGGTCCAGCTGCCGAAGTTCGGGTCGGACATGGAGGCACTTCGGTATGTACCGGAGTGCTTCAGATGTCTGACCCGAACTTGGGCAGCTGGACCTCAAGTTTTTAGATACGTAATCCGAAAACTTCAGAGATCCATATGACCTCAACTTCGGATCTCACGCACCGAGTTTTTTTCTCCGTGTGAGGTCTCTAAAATAAATCGTTTCTGGGTTGAGTTGAAGGCGGGTGATCTCGACCTGACAACGGCGTGCGAAAATCCAAGGACTGCGGCGGCCGGTAAAATTCTAGCACTCCCATTTCCCNAGTGGGAGGGGGAGGGGAGGGGGAGGGGTGGCGGGAGAAAAATCCCGGCTGCGACACGCGATTATCACAGACAATTACGACATATTTACGTGTATGACGCACGACAGTAATGACAGCTCTCGTCAGAGCCGAGGAAATTGCCAAGCTCTGCGGTCGGGTCGCATGCTCAACGGGAGCCAGGCCAGGGCGGCCGCGCCGCTTGTGGGAATGGCAACGCGGACGGTGGACGCTGTGAAAAAGCGAGAGCTATCCACTTTTGGAGCGTTTCGGGGGAGAAAGTCGAGCTCCATGGCACTTCCGCCAAGGCGCCCGGCCGCGGCACCTGAGCTCAAGGAAATGCCTCCGCGTGGACTGAGGAGTCTTCGAGAAATGGAAAAGAGGACGGAGCGAGACGTGGAGATGAATGAATGAATTCATGGGGTGGGTGAATTAATAGGGTGGATGAATTAATAGGGTGGATGAATTAATAGGGTGGATGTTTTACCTTGCCATCGTCGTCTTTGACCTGGATCCGTCGGCCCTCTGCGGAGATAACGCGCGCCCCAATGGCGACGTCGAACTCTCGACCGGAGACCGGTTCGATCCAGATGTAGTCTCCCTGAAAAAACAAAACAAAAAATTCATCAAATTATCAATCGTCCACCGACTTCATTTCAAACTTGAAAAATCAAAAATTCACAATCAATTCAATAGAGAATTTGCAAGTGTCTAAAATTTTGTCAATTTCATCTTGAAAATGATACTGCTAGGAAAACCGAGTACGANGAGGGGTGGGGAGGGGGAGGGGGGGGGAGGGGTGGCGGGAGAAAAATCCCGGCTGCGACACGCGATTATCACAGACAATTACGACATATTTACGTGTATGACGCACGACAGTAATGACAGCTCTCGTCAGAGCCGAGGAAATTGCCAAGCTCTGCGGGAGCCAGGCCAGGGCGGCCGCGCCGCTTGTGGGAATGGCAACGCGGACGGAGGACGCTGCGAAAAAGCGAGAGCTATCCACTTTTGGAGCGTTTCGGGGGAGAAAGTCGAGCTCCTTGGCACTTCCGCCAAGGCGCCCGGCCGCGGCACCTGAGCTCAAGGAAATGCCTCCGCGTCGACTCAGGAGTCTTCGAGAAATGGAAAAGAGGACGGAGCCAGACGTGGAGATGAATGAATGAATTCATAGGGTGGATGAATGGGCCTGGTCAGGGGGCAGTTTTCTAATCACCGGAAACGAGCAAACGGCGGGCTCGGTGATTTCCGGAAGATGCCGAGTCGTTGTTGTTGTTGTTATTATTTCCTTCAGTTTGTTTACAAACCCAACGTGATCTCCTATAGTGGTCCATATACGCTTTATGCGGTAACCAAATCGATCAACTTTTAAATATCCAACGCAATCCTTCTACATTTTATTTCACGATGTCACGAGCTCCGATTTTTAGGTTATGTTGTCAGTTTTAGTTGACCGGAAATAGCCGCGAGTTGCCGTTAATTGTTTCCGTTAGAAAACTGCCCCCAGACGCGGGAAATTTGAAAATGCGCGTTCCTAACAACACAAATTGCGCAGTAAGGAGTGTATTTCAGACTTTTTTAATGTGACCATCGTAATTTTCGTGTCATTTAACCTCTAAAAAGTCTATTCGCACGACTGTATCTCTTGCATGCAACAGGCCCATTAATAGGGTGGATGAATTAATAGGGTGGATGTTTTACCTTGCCATCGTCGTCTTTGACCTGGATCCGTCGGCCCTCTGCGGAGATAACGCGCGCCCCGATGGCGACGTCGAACTCTCGACCGGAGACCGGTTCGATCCAGATGTAGTCTCCCTGAAAAAACAAAACGAAAAATTCATCAAATTATCAATCGTCCGGCGACTTCATTTCAAACTTGAAAAATCAAAAATTCACAATCAATTCGATAGAGAATTTGCAGGTGTCTAAAATGTTGTCAATTTCATCTTGAAAATGATAGTGCTAGGAAAACCGAGTACGAGGATATCCCATAGAGTACGTATAGTCGTAATGTAAATGGGAGAGCTGGCGCCATGTTCTGCTCGACGAGTTCCGAGCCCGGTGTGCGCCGAGTTCGGGCCACTTTTTCGATACTTGTTCGATCCAAAATGGCGGTGTGGAATACGTGGTGCTTCCTATCTTCTTTGTTTACATTGGATGAGCGGGTACCCGTGTATCGCAAACAATCGATTACGTATCGAAAAAGTGACCCGGCGTCACACAGGAGTCTCGGAATTCGGGACCTGGAAAATGCTTATAAGTGGCGCCAGCTCACCCGCTTACATTACGACTCTATGTACTCTATGGGATATACTTGGTTTCTAAATTGGACAATTATTGGAGGAACAACCTGATGCACAACAAAATAACCTAATCTGCTAAAATACATGTGTTTAAATAGGAAATGCCGCCAGATGACGTCATGAGGCGGCACATTCTCTCACTTTTAGATCTATTTTTCTCCAATTTCCCATGTCAGAAAAAAATTATGAAAAATACTGCGAACTCAGCTCATTAAGCACTCTCAGATGAAGCAATAACATATTTTGTGTGTGCAAATTCTCCATTGAACTGAATAATTTTACCTTATTTTTATACTTGTGGGATTAGGAGGGGGAGGGGGCGTTGACAAGTACAATATTATACATATGTACAATCATAATTTTGTGCGCACACACACATGACTCTAACATTTATTTTTAGGACAGAGAAAACACAGGCATAAAAGTCGTGTAAGGCGTTTTCCTCGGACTCCCATTTTAGAATTGAGCTTATTTTTTTTTGGATATTTCAGGCAATTGTGCTCTCTGGTGTTTTTACATAATGGGCAGTTAAATAGCAGATGTTGTACGTTTTCTGGAGCACGCGTGTTGCAAAGGGTACACTGTTCTCGGTGGTGTTAATTATGTATGATGTTTGGTTTAGGCTGCATCAGCTTCAGATAGATGGACTGCGTTAAACAGAAAGGAACCAAGCCACATCAGCTATTGCCAAATTTAATGGGGCAATTTAATATTTTACATGAAAATGGTTGTGCGGATTTTCGTGCAAATTTCAGTGAAAATTCTCCGTGGTGCGAAGCAAATTCCTCAACATTTTCAAAGAAATCCGAACAAACGTTCTCTCGTAAAAAATTCAACTGCCCAGTTGAACTTGACAACAGCTGATGTGGCTTGGTTCCTTTCTGTTAAACTCGGTCCAGATATTGTGCCGAAAATTTGACAACGTCTGAGGGCTCACACGGCGATATTCCTTATCGACGGTGAAACTACCAAACCACGTATCTCGTTTGCGGTGTTTAAAAATCTACGCTCGCATTTTATTTTTTTGAAGTAGACCAAATCAATATCATTCCTTGAAATTTTCACAGAATTTTCTCCGCACGAAGAGGAAAAATCACAGAAATTTTTAAGACTGGACGTTAAGTAGTTTTTCATTTAAAAAATGAAGTATCACAGGAAGTCTGCGACGTCGCAAACCGAGATACGTGGTTTGGTAGTTTCACCGTCGTTATGCAGTACGGCAGCATGAATGAATACGTCCGTTTGTCCCTGATAAAGAGGCAGCTACGGCTGTAGATATAGATGTATGAATGTATGATCGGAGGTGTATGAGCGTTATGAATTGCTGCGGGAGTCCGGGGCCATAGGGTCCAGGCTCCGGGGTTCGGATCAGCGAAGCATGTCTCCGTGGCCGGAACTCCCTCTCGCTCGGAGGGCCGCAGCGTGCAGTGGCCTGGCCTCTGGGAGGCCTCCTGTAGGCCGTGACGCGTCGCAGCGCGGCCTAGCATAACGCCATTGACGCTCCCGTGCGTTACCAGCCCGCTCCGAGCTTACCGGGACGAGCTTTCAACCTTCGCCCATGGATTCCACCCGCCGATGGAAAATTTCATGACAGTAATTCGCGTGAAATTTTTTCAAACTTTAGGGGACATATTCAGGAGGCCAAGAAACGGCTGGAAACTGTGGTTTTCCATTTGAACATGTTTCATCCCGAGCCTAAAACATCCACGCGTTGCATATCGACGGTGAAACTACCAAACCACGTATCTCGGTTTGCGACGCCGCAGACTTCCTGTCATACTTTATTTTTTAAATGAAAAACTACTTAACGTCCAGTCTTGAAAATTTCTGTGATTTTTCCTCTTCGTGCGGAAAAAATTCTGTGAAAATTTCAAGGAATGATATAGATTTGGTCTACTTCAAAAAAATAAAATGTGAGCGTAGATTTTTAAACACCGCAAACGAGATACGTGGTTTGGTAGTTTCACCGTCAATATATTTTCGTTTGGTTGGTTTGGTTGGGGTTAAGTTCCTGTTTAAACTCCCTTTAGTGCTCCTTTCATGTATCGCACCTCCCACTGACAAATTTTTTACGGGCACGAAATTAAATTCTTTGCGTTGCAATTATTGACACACTTGCTTCGTATATGCAACCTATTTCTCAAGTTTATCTTCGATTTTTTATCGCTGAAGGGCAAGACAATAGCTTCTTCTAGCGGCTTAACAACGGTGGACGAGAGGTGTTGTCAAGTTGACTTAAAATGAGTTTCCGCGATTATTCTCACCGTCATCCTCACCGCATTATGAATGCGAACGTTGGCCAAAATTCGTCAAGCAACTGAGTTCAGTCCTTGACTTACAATGGACCACTAGACAAGGTACGAATTTCAGCATTCTGATACACGTGTCTCCACCAAAATTTCACGTAAAACACGATGCGCACAACAAAAATTACCGAAATCAACTAATTCCGAAGATATTTAATGATTCTTGGTGCGTGAATTGAAACCACCCGCTCATGAAAACTCAATGCTCTGCGTGATTCACATCGCGCGCTAAACGTTATCATGAACGTCTCTGCGATTTAAAAATCTGGCAACCTCTATCTTGACACTTTGGCTCAGCCATAGCAAATTACTTATAATTTGAAAAACACATGGTGGGAAATGAACATTCCTCGATTGAGAGGCTTGCTGAAACCGTTGTAGTACGCGATTAGACTCACGTAGAGCTTTGAGTTTCTTGTGAGCGGGCAGTTCAAATTCCTCGTAACCAATGTGAAATTAAAATATTATTATCTCCGTTAGGAGTTGATTCCAGTAATTTTCGTTGCGCGAATCGTGTTCTACGTGAAATTCTGGTTAAGACACATGTATCAGAATGCTTAAATTCGTCCCTTGTCTACTGGTCCATTAGTAGAGCGATTTCACCTTTGAGTTGCAGCCCTACCGATCTGCTCGAAAATATTCACCCAATCCACCCCCGGAAATTCGGCTATCCTATACACGTTTGCACCGGAAGCTCCACTTATGGCTATAGTTTGTCGGTTGCTCAATACATTTACATTTATTTACAGGTGCTTTAACAGTACATGGGTACTTAACACCTTAGAAAATAGAGACCAATAGAAATGTGCACAAAATTAAAAAAAAAAAGTGTATATTTTCTTCGGAAAATTCACTAAAAGACACGGAGAGAATAAATTAAACTTGAGATTAGGTTTTTTTTAAAAAAGGGAGAGACTTGAAGAAAAAATTTCGAAAACATGGATCAATGTTGAAGAAACGATGGCGTGCATTGCCAGGGTTGCACAGAAATTTCAAAGGGTTCTCCCGGAATAAATTTAGGTTCCTCCATATCAGGTTTTCGCAGAATTTTGCCCAACATATGGGACGCATTTCTATCAAACGAAACTATGTGCATTAAGACATGAGCCCTGTGACCCATAATAATAAACGCATTACGGGGCTCACGTCATAATGCACCTAATTTCGTTTGGCAGAAATACGTTCATATAAAGTAACGCGGTCGACAGTTTCGTCCCCCTAAAATAGGAACCGCATTTTTTACCTTGCAAAAAAAGCCTCGGCCGCGTGGTCGGGAAGTTTCAGCAACCCTGCGGACTGATTATTGAAATTGATAGACAAAGCGATAGAAAAGAAGACATAGGGAGTATGGAACGATCCCACTGGTTGCAACTGGTGATTCTTACGGACGGAGAGGGAAAATGATGGACTAACTGTCGGATCTCTTGCCGTTAGTTAGTCCATTATATACCTCGTTTGTCCATTGCAACCAACCGCTTCCACCAATAGGATCCCTCCATATCCCTTTTCTCTTCTTCGTCTATAGCTTTGTCTATCAATTTCAATAATCGGCCCGCTGAACACTACCGCGGTGGATGACGTCATACGCCGTTCTTTATTTCTTTCTCTTTTTAGAAAACCCATGTCTCCGTAAATATTTGCCGCATTGAAAGTGTTTGAACAGATCTCATTACTTTTTGCTCATCTATGATGCGAGATCATCAAAACATGATTCTGTGACTATAACAATCATCCCGTTTCAAGGTAATTTTAAAATCCGGGCTCATTCGGCAACGCGAGAAAATCACAGCGACCGGCCGGGAGTAACGCCCGTCCGCCCGACTAATAACGCCGTGCACCACCGCCGCCGCGCCGCGCGTTTCAATGCCACGGGTTCACGGCGGCGGCGGCGGCGTTGCGCGCGTGCGGAAATTGCGAAACGGCAGCGAAGCCAGAACACGGGATCCAGCGTTTCGTAAAGCCGCGGCTTTGCATACAGTGAGCGAATGCAGATTTGTGGGCAGAGCGCCGAGGCAGGATGCAGGACGAATAAAACAATACCGCGGATTCCTACGCACCTCATGTCGCTCTCTCTCTACAAGTATGATATAATGTTGTTATATGGGTCACTTGGCTCCAATACACGCATGAGGTTGAGTACCTTTATAAGGAGAGTATGGACAACTAGAAAATTTGGAGGTTGGCTTTGATCAGGTCGTGTAGCTTG